ACATGTTTTACTTTTTCAAGATAACTGGAGAGAGAGAGAGACAGAGACAGGGACAGGGACAGAGACAGAGACTAGAAGCTTATCTAACTTTAGCATCAAATTCTCTCTAGTCACAGAATCTTCTCTCCTCAAGGAAGAATCTTAAGCCAGAAGGAAACATCACAAGAGGGAAATGTTTTCCCTTCAAGGTATGTTTTGTTCACCTGTATTTTTTCTTTCCTTTTAGAATGCACTGCATATTAATCTCTGGGAACAATGGGTTTGGATATAGGAGATATCTGCTTTCCCATATTTCAAGAGCTATTTATTCAGAGCTCTGTTGAAAGATGAAACCCAGGGGGCAAGTTCTTTCAGGACACTAGCTGCAGGGAGTGACATTTTACTCATTCCTTCTGGAAGGACCCACTGTCTCCCTGAGGTCTCAGGGAGCTTTGAAGGTTTCCCTGTGAACTGATGAGTGTTTCATCAGCTTTGAGAGGTCAAGACCACTTACCACCACGAAACTCTTAGGACTTTCTTAATCTGTACAGGCTTTTTTATGGCCTGGGGCAGTGGGTTTGAATTCTCTGTGTACCTGATTTCTGAAGCAAAGCAAATTTCCTAAGGGATATTTAGAAATGGGCAAATGGAAAAAAATGGCATGTGTTTATGGAGGTCATTCTTTTTAAGAAATAAATTCCATGAGTCTTTATGTAATTGTAAAGAGGTTTTTAAAATACACCTTGCTCAAATAAACCCAAAGCTATATGGTTTGGAGATAAGGAAGCTGGGATCAAGTATGTTAGAATTTTTTTCTATCTTTTTTGCCTTTATTGCAAATTTCTTCATTAAAAGTGAGTGCTGGGGTGCCTGCACTGTAAGGGCCCATGGTGGTTTGAAAGTTGTTTCTGAACTATGGGGAGAAGACATGTATCAGACATTAACCTAGGCTAGGTATCAGAGATTAGGGGAGGACAGGAGGAAGGTAGAGGGAAAGGAAAGAAGAGAAGGTAGGTAAAGGGGAAGCCAGGAGAAGCTGGGGGTGGGGAGGCAGCCGGAGGTAAGAAAGAGTAGATGAATGTGGAGGGAGGAAGATATTGAGAGGGCAAAGGGAAGGAAAGTGTGAGAGGATCCGGATAGGCCAGTAGGGTAAATGGGCATTTGTTTAGTATTCCTTATATGCCAGGCAGTGGGTTTTCACTTAAATTGCTTCTCTAATTCTCAGAGGCACTACTAGTTAGATGTGGTTTAAGCCCCATGTTTTAGAAGAATAAACTGATGCTTAGGGGTGTCAAAAACTGCCTGAGGACATGCAGAAAGGACCATGCAGGCTACATCTTGATGTCAGAGATTTGATCATCTACCTTCTTGAATTCCTTTGTTAAGTAGATGCTTTGAACCAAATGTAGAGCCTAACTTTGGGACTAAGCAGGCTTGTGCAATGTGGCTACAGACTCGTGACTCTCTTTTATGGGCTTTCGTTGCTGGTCAAATGTAAAGTTTATTTCAATAGAGTTTAGTCCATTATTTGTTATTTTTTACTATATGTTAATCACCCAGGGAGCTCACCAAGTGCTAAATTCCTAAGACTCCATCCAAATGCATTGGCTTGGAGCCAGATGTTCAATGTTTCCAACACAGGACCTCAACCTGGCATTCTAGAGCATTCAGAACAGCACTGTCTGTACAGTGGTCAGTATGTGAACAGATACCCTGCCTATCCAACATAATAACAAGCTGAATTTAAAAGTAGCTTCAATTATCAGAAAATTCCTCTTATGTTAAACAAAGAAATCTCAAATAATCTCCCTGGTTTTCTTCTTCTTCTTGCGCCCCCCCCCCTGGTTTCTGCAGACAGGGTTTTGCTGTGTTGCTTTGGAGCCTGTCCTGGAAATCACTCTGTAGACCAGGCTGTCCTCAAACTCACAGAGATTCATTGCTTCTGCCTCCTGAGTGCTGGGATTAAAGGCTTGTGCCACCACAGCCTGGGTGTGCCTGGTTTTCTTAAACAGAACTACATATAGAAGATTTAAGTTCCCAGTATTTTTAATTTTAAATTGTGTGTGTGTGTGTGTGTGTGTGTGTGTGTGTGTGTGTGTGTGTGTGTGTGTGTGTGTGATATGATGTGTGTGTGTGTGTGTGTGTTGTGTGTGTGTGTGTGTATGTGTGTACATGCATGCTGATGCCTGAGGAGGCTGTAAGAGGTTATGGGATTCCCTGGAGCTGGAGTTGCAGGTGACTGTGAGTCACCTGGTATAGATCATAATAACTGAACTTGGGTCATCTGAAAGAGCAGCAAATTTTCTTAGGAGCCCCCTTTCATTTTTCAAAATATTTTTTTCCTGAATGTTGTTTTTAAGAAAGTGAACTTGTTAAAGAAAATGACTATTTATGGATGTGGAATTTGCTCCTCAGCATTTAGTAGGTGAGGGGGAAATTCTGGCCTCCCAAACTGCACTTCTGATGAGAAGATGGAACTCTGTTCTCTGCTCGGCAGCCATCCTTAGAGGCCCTCACACTAGACAAAGAGATGATTTCTCATTTCCTGTAGCAACATCATGGCACACATCACACAAATCAAACAAACCACCTCATTCAGTGTTGCCTCAGATATGGAAGAATCCTGTGTGTCAAGGTGGAGGTGAGGCTGGTTATAAAGGGAAGGCACTCTCAAGTAAGGGATGCATGGGAGTCCTGGCATTTCTGAGCTTCTGCTTGTTCTTACCCAGTTACAGTTCTATGCTGGCCCAGGAGCTGGTTTTAAGCCACTAAAATAAACTGTGAGGAGAGAAGATGCTGCATGGAAAAATACCATGTGTTTCCAAACATCCCAGATCCTTAGAGACTACTTGCTACTTGTTCACCTACTTACAAAACAGAAGCAAGTGTTTCTTAATTGAGTTAGAAGGAAGTTAATTTCTTATACGTTTTAAAAGGCAGCAAGGGATGGCTGTGGATGTGAGGCTTCCTTAGCAGCCATTTGTGTATATGTTCTAAAACTTAAGACATTTTGATGAGGAAAATGTGAAAAAACCAACTATCCCTATTACTTATTGTTAAAATAGGGATAATGATTACTATTACTATTGTTTGGTGGTTATATGTCAGAGCATAACAATGTAATTTATAAACATCTTTTGCTATACAGTTAGTACTAGAGAATAGAATGTTAGTCTCTGGATTGACATGAGTGACAGTCCTGCTGGTTTGTCATGTGGCTCTTCACAAACCTGTTGGTTCAATGAACTCCCTTTGAATAGCACTTAAAATGATGAGACAGGTAGAGAGAAGAAAGGGGGTATAAAAGAGCACACAAAATCTAGACTGCTGCTCTTTCTTCAGTTTCCCCCAAACCTAAGAAGAGACTGGAGGTTGAAAGTGTGAAGGATAGACCATCTCAGGCTTTGTGTAGGTCCCTAATCCTGTGCTCTTTTCTTAAGCATTCTTTTTTGGTTCTGCTGCTCCAGCCAGGTTTAGGGTGTACAAATCACAACACCAGAAACCTCAGCTTCTTTTGATATTTTTTAATGATGAAATTCTGCATTGTTTACCCTCTGTCATGGGTATAAAACCAGAAGAGCTCCAGAATATGGACTTATAGGGAAATTGGAGAAGATGAAGGTCTAAAAGTCCTTAAATACAGTATGCAGCTTAAATTTACATCATTGCCAAATGTAGAATTGGAATTTGCATGTTGGTGTATGGAAAGTACTGGAAACATTCTGGGTTCTATCTGTGAGCATCCTAGCCATGTAACTAGGAGTTTTCCTTCTCCTGTCACACACAAGGCATCTATGTGTCAACCCCATGGGGTGCTTTAACTTCAAATGTTCACAGTTGCATGAAGTGAGTATCATGGGCAGTCTAAGTGGCTAACTGTGCCCAGCAGTCATAAGCCACAAGTTTTGGCCTCAGTTGGAGATGTACCTTGTTCTGTGGCCTCTCCTAAAATGAGGAACCAGAATACATTCATAGTTTGGAACCCAGAGTGTGGCTCAGTGTAGGTTGTGATCACATAGTATACAAATTTTAGGCTCTTAAACCACAGGATGCAATGTTCATCAGACTGTCAGAGCTACTGCTGGGCTCCACAGCATTCCATGAGTCAGCAGAGAAGAGGAGCCCTCTCCGTTACCAGGCCAAACCTTGTGGAGTTCACACTGAGTCCATGTTTTTATTTCATTAATAAAATATAAGCCCACTCTCCGTTGGTAACCCAGAACTGTGAGGGTACATTTTTTCCTGTTTTCTAAAGTGCATGCAGATAAAAGGGGATTACTTTTGAGACTACAACCTGTCAAAGATAAATAGTATTTGATTTACTATACATAATAGCAGTGCATTTCTTCTTAAAACAGCAAGCTCTTTTTCTTTTTACCAAAATGAAAAGAAAACATTCATTTCTTTATAAATAGTTTAAATACATATTTCATACCAAGGTTATAAAAATAGCTTCTTTTTTCAATAAATACATTTTCATTTACATGGCAAATAATGTGCAGCTAGCTAGCCACTGGCCACCAGCTCTATTTTACTGATTGTCTAGGAGATGACATGCAGTAATAATTGTCCTTCTGCCCTCACAAAAAGGGAGAGAGCAGCAGGAGCCATGCATCCCTGGGAGCCAGCAGTGCTATGGATACTGTTCAGGAATGACAATCAGGCACTCAGGAAAAACCTTTGCTGCACTTCACAAAAGCCACTAATGACAAAACTAATCCTCAAACTCTTTGTCTGGATTTTCTATCTATTCAGACCCTCAGGGTCTTTGGATGGTTACCAAAATCTGTCAAACAGACCAGTAAGTTAATACCTGTACAGAAAAAGTGTTGGTGCTTCTAAGTTCTAGAAATTGTTTGCTACAGTGTAGAGGTGGGCCTGCCTTTCCCTGGCCCCTTGCCCTCCTTTCTGCAGAATTCCCAACATTGTTTAGGCTCCATGCCTACTCCAGGCCCCAAAGGCAAACCAGAGCTGTCATGCAGCAGCAGTTTGGCATTGGAAGCTGCCCCTGTGTGCTGACATCATAGGTTTATGGCTTTACTGTCCTTTGAATCTGCTGTGCTTGTGACAACTTCTACTGGAAAGTTCTCCAAGGTTTCTGTAGAGGATGACATCATTGCTTCTTGGTCCCAGGAGCCTGGTAAGTTTTCCAAACTGAAGGAACTCACAGGTCTGTGGGTGATGCTGCCCTCTTCTGATCTACTTGGGAGAACACGGTGCAAGGATGTTTCTGATGAGGAAGAGACTGAGGATGAGAGAGTGGTGGAGATTGACTGCAAAGGTGTCAGTGTGCTATCAGAATGGGGGGAAATACACCTCAGGAACTGCAAGTGACCTTCCTGGATGACCTGGCAGTGGGAGGGGGAATAATCAAGCTTTGGAGAAAGATGCAGTTCACTATCTGCTGGATTTTGCTCATGAGCTACAGTTCTTTGAGGGCTGCTGCCCAAAGAGGAGGGATCCATACTCCAGATGTCAGAGGTGACATTACCATGATAAAGCTGTGCTCCACCTGTCTGAAAATGGAGGCAAGGTTGGTGAGCACTCCAGCTCATCCTCATCTGTAAGCTTTCTTTGGAAGGACACATCGGAGTGGGATGCAAAGAACAAAACCTTGATGGCTGCTGAGGTGACAAGATGTTTTCCAGAAGTTGCATGATGTTCCTCATATCTTTCCCTAGTTGGGAGACCTCCTGAGTCAATGTTGTTACCTGTGTGGAGAAAGCAGAGCCAACAACAATGGTCATAGGTACACAGTGTGGACAGGTCTTAGAGAACTGAAGAAAGTGAGAAAGAGGGCCACTCCATCTCAGAGCTAACCAAACTAAAGGTGACTGACTAGGCTGGGCATCTAGACGGGTTTGTATCCTGATCTAAAGACATACCCACTTAGGAGAGATGAGTGTGGTTAGGGGTCTATGGTAATATATCCTTTATTAAAGCCACTGGAGATCAAAACAACAAAGCAGCCATACTGGTTAGCCATAGAAGCTAGACACACATCTTTAATCCCAGGACTCAGGATTAAGAGTTAGACAGATATCTGAGTCCAAGACCACCCAGGGCTATTGGAAAGTGAGTCAGGGCTCACGCCTTTAATCCCGGGGTTTGAGAAATATAAAGGGTAGAGACATTCAGTCTGAAAATTAGTCTCTAGTCACATTGAGGAGAACATAACAGTCTGAGTGAATCAGAAGTAGTAAAGTGCAGGGAGTATGAGGATTGCCCCTTGGGTCTGTGGTAGAGGTAAGAGCTAGTGGATAGCTGCTTTGCTTTTCTGATCTTCAGCTTGAAGCTTGAACCCCATGATTAGCCCTGGGTCATTTATTTACCGTGTTACAGTGATCTTAATTGGTGACTGAGGTATCACTGCAAAGGATTAAGGAAGCCTTGAACACCACTGATAGCTTCTACTTCCTGAGAGGGGATGGCATACTGACAGGTATGAAGATGTCATCAGTGCCTGGAGGAGCAGATACCATGTGCAATGTACCAGGCACATTGAGCCTCTGTTCAGTGTGGTGACTGAACAGCAGCTCTAGCTTAACATTTCCTAGGGGCGGTCTTGTGACTATAGGTTCAGAGCCAAAAATAAGAGACCTCCAAGAAGGAGAGGATGGTGAGAACTCTTACCAGATTTCCTAAAAAAAGAGCTCCTGGGAAAAAATGGAAGTTACAAAAAGAGATGAAGAGAAAGAGACTGTGAAGTGGTTAACTACAGGCAAGCCCTGTGAACATCTGAGTGTCCTGGGATCTACCAAGTAACTAGGAGATCCTTCCATTGAAACCCACATTATACTGTATCTGCTTCGCTCATTTTAGAGATGAAACCTTTATAATTTATCAAATTCTCAAAGGAGACACAGTCCCTAAACATAAGAAACAACAGAAAAGTAATCATTTAAAACAACAAGAAAAATCTACTGACAGAGTTGTTTTCCTGACATTAGATTAAAACAACAAAACCCCACAGTGGACACTAGGAGACTGAATGTGGTTCCAGTCTGTGCTTTCTGACTGAAATTTGATTTACCTCAAACTGGATACATACAAATTTCCACTCTTTGGATTGCATAACACTAACACAATGTTTGCCATCTCTATGTTAATACCTTATAGCTTATGATAGTGCTGCTGTGATCTTACCATCACAACCACAAAGGTTCCAATAGCAGCAGTTGAATCCCCAGATAAACACCATCAAGACTCAAAAAGTAGTGCAATTCCACTCTTAGGCATATACCCCAAAGAAACACATTCATACAACAAGGACATATGCTCAACAATGTTCATAGCAGCACTATTTGTAATAGCTAGAAACTGGAAGCAGCCTAGATGCCCCTCAACCAAAGAATGGATAGAGAAAATGTGGTACATTTACACAATGGAGTACTACTCAGCGTAAAAAAAAAACAATGGAATCTTGAAGTTTGCAGGAAAATGGATGGATCTAGAAGAAACCATTCTGAGTGAGGTAACCCAACGCAAAAAAGACAAACATGGTATGTACTCACTCATATGCGGATTTTAGACATAGAGTAAGGAATACCAGCCTACAAGCCACACTGCTAAAGAAGCTAATAACCAAGGAGATCCCTTAGAGAGACATGCATGGTCCCCTGGAGAAGGGGAGAGGTTCAAGATCTGCTGAGAAAATTGGGAGCACGGGAAGAGGGGGGAGGGAGCTAGGAGAATGAGAAGGGGAGAAGAAGAGGGATGCCGAGGACAGGAGGGAGCAGAAAGTATGAGTCAGGGGAAGAATACATGATAACAAGAATGGAGATATCATAATGGTGACATTTTTGGTTTACAGAGAAATTAGACACTAGGGAAATGTCTGGAGATCTACAAAGATGACACCAGCTAACTATTTCAGCAATGGAGGAGAGGCTACCTTAAATGCCCTCCCCTGATTATGAGATTGATGACTGACTTATATGCCATCCTATAGCCTTCATCCAGCAGCTGGTGGAAGTAGAAGCAGAAACTCATAACTAATCACCGAACTGAACTGGAACTTAGATGCAGAGAAGGACCAGTGAAGAGCACAGAGGTCCAGACCAGGCTGGTGAAACCCACAGAAACAGCTGACCTGAACATCCTGGAACTCTTGTTCCCCAGTCTGATAGCTGGAATACCAGCATGGGACTGATGCAGACCCCAGGAACATGGGTTTCTGTGAGGAAACCTCAGAAATCTATGGGACCTCTTGTAGAAGCCCAGTATTTATCCCTAGCATAGGTGTGGACTTTGGGAGCCCATTCCATATAGAGGAATACTCCCTGAGTCAAGACACACAGGGGTGGGCCTAGGCACTCTCCCAAAGGATACGAAAGACTCTGATGACACCCTATGGAAGGCCTCACCATCCAGGGGCAGCAGAAAAGATACGTGACAGATAAGGTTTTAATTGGGGGGGAATAGGGGAGGATGGGTGGGAGAAGGGAACTGGGATTGTCATGTAAAACAATCCTGTTTCTAATTCAAATAAAAAAAATTGGAAAAAGTAGTTTCAATATCATGACAAAAAACAAGACTGCTATTTGGGGCAGGCTTCTTTATCTTTCTCATACACACATTTAAAAAATATCTACATAACCAGTTTTCGTACAAATGTATGCTTTATGAAGAATATATCCTTTAAATCTTCCACTCTCCTCCTCTCCCCACTTGGTTCCTTTTGTTTCCTTAGACAGCTTTACTTTCATTGTCTACACATTCCTAATTCATCCAGTCCACTTCCTGTGAGATCCTCCTGAAGCTAATTCTCCTTTGCAGCCCCAGCAGGAGGCGGCACTGCTCAAACTGAGGCATTTAGAAAGGTTTAGAAGGAGGTCATTCTGTGGTTCAGGCTACTAGCTGCTAACATATTGACTGAAATTGCAAGACCAAAACTCTTTGTGCTGTTGTGGAACTGTAGTGAACCGAATAGATGCCTGTCTGGCTTTTTTTTTCAGTGAATCTGAAGCTGCTAGAAGTAGAACATACACCCCAATCTCACAAAGGACTGGAAGGGTGAGCATGAAGGAATGAATCAACTCTCCAATCTGCGCGCGTGGGTCTTGCCCACTCAGCCTCACAGGATCCCTGCCCCACAGACATGCGGAAGGTTCGATGGAATCCTTATCTCCACTGTCAGCATTTCAGGATGCATCTGCCACTAAATGGACATCAATTGAAAGGACATCTGAATGGCTCTCTCTGTGGGCACAGTGAGCATTCCTGAATCAAATTCACCTGGATTGATGGATTAGCTGAGCTTTCAGTCAAGATGCCCCCATGTGGTGGCTTGAAAGAAAATGGCCCCAAAGGGAATGGTACTTTTAGGAGGTGTGGCTTGATTGGAGTAGGTGTAGTCTTGTTGGCGAAAGCGTGTGGAGGTGGGCTTTGAGGTCTTATATATGTTCAAGCCATGTCCAGTGAGACCCGCCACTTCCTATTGTCTGCAAATAAAGATGTAGAACACTTGGCTGTTTCTCCAGTCCTGTCTGCCCGCATGCTGCCTTGCAGCCCTCCCTGACAATAATGCACTAAACTTCTGGACTGCATGCCAGCCAATCAAATTAAATGCTTTCTTTTGTAAGAGTTGCTGTGGTCACAGTGTCTCTTCACAGCAATACAAACCCTAAGTAAGTAAGTACCCTTCATTCAGAAGTAGATAAAGACAGAGCATTGGAAGACTGGTTTTGAACTTTAGGTTTATATTAGGAATTACAGTATTCATGAATTTTTTAACAAATTTATAATGATATAACATTTTCATGATCAAAATAACCAAAAACACTAAGACAGGCAGTTTCAAAGTGTGAAACAGAGGCCCAGAAGTGAAATGTTGTTTTATTTTAAAAATGAAAAGTGTGTGTGTGTGTGTGTGTGTGTGTGTGTGTGTGTGTGTCTGTCTGTCTGTCTGTCTGTCTGTCTGTGTGTACATGAGTGGTGGTGCCCTCAGAGGACAGAAGAGAGCATCAGATCCCCTGGAGCTGGAGGTGGATATGAGTTCACTGTCATAGGTGCTGGGAACTGAACTCTTAGTTGCTCTCTTAGTTGCTGAACCACCTCTTTAGCCCCCAAATGGTGTTTTTAAGATTACTTATTTTATGAAAGACATCTTTGGTCTAGAATCCAGGACTTATCTTTTGCTGCAGTTTGCAATCACATTGTTTCTGAAGGAGTTGGGAGATGCTTGCTAATATGTTTAAAATCTCCACAAAACACAGTGACATAAACCATTACCTTATGGAGAAGAGTTATATAGACTGTCAATTCAACATCAGATAAGCAAATGGCGTAATCTCAGAAAGCAATTCCACACTGATTAAACAGTAAATTCTCTTCAAAGCAAATTATGTGAACAACAACAACAAAAGATTTGCTATAGGGTAAACACTATAATTCAGAATAAATGGATTTCTAGCTTTCAAAATAAAAATTTTCCATTTCTTCAGAGCCACGTTCTTGACAACTAACTTACACTATACAATCACCACATCTTTGAGGCCATGAACTCTGATTGGGAATCCATGGACTCCACTGGTTCTAGGAACACAAACACTTATTAGCTGTTCCAAAAAGAAAAATTACTACCTTATCTGGAACTAAAAACAGCACAGAAGTCAAGAAAATAGAACTTTCAAGTGATGTGAGGGAAGATTTCCATCACTGTGTTCCCAGGGTCACGCCCCTGCACCCTATTAAAATTCCATGAGGGATT